CCCCAAAACCCCAAAACCCCAAAACCCCATAATGGGGTAATTTTACAGAAATTGAAGTTCTACAAAAATGCAAATAATCTCAAATATCTATTTTATTTAAAGGGTGTGAAAGATTAATAATAGCACATTTTTCAAATAAATACATAATCTTATTATTCTTAGGCTTAAGTACTGTTTAATTTGAGAGATTATAAATATATCGAATTAACATGGCTAATAGTTTCCTAATGCAGAAAATGGATTATTTCCTCCAGCAAGAGAGGAAAATGTCCATTAATGATGATCAAGAGCAACAGCCTCAATACCTAGTCAGATATAAGACCATGTTTCATTAGGAGCAGGATCTAGATCGACTAATGAAAGAGGAAGAGGAAAAGCAAAAGGTAATTGAAAGCAGTGCAGATTCATCATTCGCGAGTCATAGTAAGAAGCAAGATAAGGTAGTTAACTTGAAGGGCATGCGATTTGAAATTCATGAGGTAAATATTACATTTATTTACAATTTTAGAAATAAAGAAAAGTATGGACCAGCATGCATTTATAAGAGAGGTTGAGAAAGCAGTTGAAAATTAATGACGTTATTGCAGCCATCCTGGCTGTCATTGGAATGATATTTGGTTATTTAGAGCAAGAATTTTTATTCTCTACTCATCCTAAATACGAATAGGATGAACAGGTATTTGTGTGTAGATGTATACAATCAGCTACCACTATTATACTATGTAAAATTACTTTCCATTCCTCATAAAATGATAGTGCTTTATATAACAAGACATCAAATATTATAATTCAAATTCATGAGGGAAAAGCGCAAAGTACTTGCTGAGAGTAAAACTAAACTATATATTAACAACTAATTTAGTTGGCTTTGTAAAGTCAAAGTACTTTAAGATTATGGTAATTGAATTAATTATCTGCTCAATTCATAATCCTCCAAGAGCTGATTTCTTGTTTGAAGCTGATTAAATGGGTAAATAATTGAGATACCCATTCAGCACTCTCCTAGCCTCTGCGATGTTCCTAAGAAGTTATCTACTATTCTGATTGTTTACTAGATTCACAAGATATAAAACTTCACTTGCAGATCGATGCTGTGCTAAGATTGGAATAGAGGCTGACACTATATTCTCGCTCAAATGTTCTTTCAAAGATCAACCTTTTATAATATTGGGCTATGCTCTTGCAATTAGCAGTGTTGTTGCTGGTTTGATTGTTAAAACATTTGAACGGCCTTATTATGATGATGATTTTTCACCTGTACCTTAGATTTCAGAACAATACTAGGATTATAGCTTTGTATAAAATGGAATTTGGCTGGTAATAATTACGATGACTACAGGTATCTCATTTTTTATTTGATCATTATAGTTGGGTTTGGAGATTATTATCCTAAGACTCATGTTGGAAGAGGAGTGATTATTTTGTCTTGCTTTTGGGGTGTGTTTTTAGTTTCAATGTCAATAGTATCATTAAACAATGTCAAGAAATTTCAGTGTGCAGAGCAATATGTATAAATATAAATTTAACTGTTCCTTAGGCTTTTAATATAATGCACAGAATTTAAATGAAGCAGAAAGTCTAGCATAAAGCAGCAAATGCTTTGATTTATTTCTTCAAATACAAATTAATAGTCAAGAAACTGCATATTAATATCGTCACAGACACTTTCAGGAACAAATTAAGAGAAGATAAACTGATTTTAGAGGTCAAGCTTAGAGATAAGATAATGATTTTTTCAAGAGAAAGAAACAGGTTGAAAATTGAGGAGCTAGCTGAGAATGTCAAGATTAAGCAAATCACTGAGAAAGTGGAAAATGACTTGGCTAGATTAGCTATAACTCTCAACTAAATAAGAGAGATTGATGTATCAACTAAACTTTTACTTTAAGATCAAGAGAGGGACTTGAAGAGATTGAGAGAAATAAATAAAAATATCAAGCTATTTGGAATCATTTTAAACAGACTAGATCCTAACAGTCCAGGACAAAAGTTCATATCATGTAAGATCTTAATAATTATAATATAACATAGCCAAATCTATGCAATCTCAAAAGAGTGTGACAGAGAAGTACTTCTCTGATAACTATTAAATGGAAATGAAGAAAAATAACATTGAAAGGCAACTCAGCCGTAAAAAATCTTAAAGAAAATCTATGAAGATAGCAAAGTAACTAGAAATCATCAGTAAAAAGACTACATATACAGATTTTAATATGATTGAATCCCCTCAAAAGTCCATTTATTCTCACTAATAGGAAAGGCGCATGGTAGCTTTTAACAAGCAAAACTCTCTTGATGGGGATTTGATTGATGTCAAGATTAGAAGTTTAAAGCAGAAGCTAGCTAGTCCTCTTAAAAGAAATCACTATGAGATTATTTAACCATCGATTATGGATTAGCCTGATGAAGAAGAGCTAAAACTTGAAGATGCAATTGAATCCTCAGAGAAGGTTTCATCATCTTAGAATAACAATGATTAGATGCTCATGATGAGAGACCTTCAAAACTATTAATACTCTAGTGTTGAAAATGACATAAGGCGAGAGAACTAATAAACTGATAATAATATGATCATATAGTAGAATGATCAGTACTTTCTTGAAAATAACAATAATAATACGTTAGAACTACTCATTTAAAATATGCTTAGCAATAATCCTACCAATGCATTTAATTAGTAAAGATCATTTTAAGAGCACATCAGTTAAAATCCAACTAGACTTTTTAAAAATAATTTTAGAAGGTTAACTAATCCAAAAGGCAATAATCATAAACTCAATCACTAACCATCACTTTCATCTTCAAGTCCTGGTGGAAGTAGACTCAGAGATTAAGGAGGCCTGGGTGAACTCTCTAATAACTCGAAAGAAAACATTATAACTATCATTAATAACTAAGAAGAGCAGATCACTGATTTCTCTGACCTTGTACTAAATAACGGTAGTAAAATAAATCATTGACGATAGATAAGTTTCTTTTTAAACTTTATTTCATAAATTCATATCATTTTCATCTTGGAATAAGAAGCATGGGGTTTTGGGGTTTTGGGGTTTTGGGGTTTTGGGG